CACAGGAAGATGTCTCAATTTCAGATTATAATAGGATGACAATTTGTAAATAAAGGCATTTCACAGGAGGTGATAAACTCTGTACAAAAGGGAGGTGGAAGGAGAAGGAATGGGAAAACACAGGCAGGATTCTGCCAGAGAAACTACATGGGATCCTGTTTACATGGGAGGAGTTATGGGGAGCTGCTTCAGGGGGCAAATAGCTCCAGATTTAGGCAAGGTGCTTCTTCCCTGGAGAGTAGATATCAGCAGGGATCAAAGGCATAGAGAAACATTGCTTGCCCAGTCTGCCTGCAATTTTAGAATGAAATGTCATTCAGCCAAGTGGTCCCTTAAACCAGACGAGGTCCCACCACCAGGAGAGCCAAAGCAGGGAGTGATGCTGATGCTTCTCCAACCTCCAGAGGTCTTTTCCCATCTTTTTGTTGCAGAGGAGTTGGGAGGGAGAAACTGAGGTTGTGCTTGCTGGGAAGAACCTTGTGGGTCTCCCAGCCTCAAACCTTGCAAAGCCTTGCTCGGTCTAGCACCCACCAAGCATTGTCACTCAACATCTGCTGGCTCCAGGAGACCCTGGGGCAGTTCCAGAGTCAGGGCAATCTGCGTAAACTTTCGAGTTTGGTATTTTATGAATAATTCCTATAAATAAAAAAAGCAGTGGAGGTGGTGAGGACATAAGCCAGCTCATCTTGCTTTCCCTCTGTGATAGCCAGCTCTGGGCTTCTCAGAGAGCTTCGCTTTGCCAGGAGATCCAGCACCATTCATCTGTCCTGCAGGAGAGACACCTTCTCACCCACCATGAGCACCATAACCTTCCATCAGCCAAGAGCCACCAGTCTAATGCCATATATGGGTCAAGGGCTGGGTGGAGACTATACCATGGAGACCCAGCACTGACACCACCAAGCACCATCAGCTCATTTCTACCCTTGAAACAGAACTTTCTCCATGGATGTATCAGGGATTGTTGATATTTTTTGGTCTGTGTTTGACCCAGCCACCTGAGAAAGTTTTGTTCTTTGCCTGCCATGTTCACTGATAAACAGGAGCCTTGTCCTTGGAGAGACAGTTTCTTGTATAAACTGTTTTAATTGGTGTTCTGTAATTGGCTGGTTGTCTGTAGAGGACATTTAAAGGAGAAACTGAAGAGGAGAAGATGAAGTAAAGCCCCCAGACCCAAATAGATAAGACCCCTTGAGTGAAACAGCGCATGCGTTAGGTGATTCATGCATGCGCTGAAAGGGTACACTTATATAACCAGGGGGGCGGACTGAGAACCTCTGTCTGGGCAGTGCTGGCCACACCGGTCCAGGTAGACGTCACTGGTTAATTGGATAAAAGATGCAGGTGGTTCGTGCTTGGGGCTCTCAAGCTTTACATGAAGGACAACGTTGCCTTTTGCAGGGACGCCCGCTATCTTGTGAGCCTGCTGACCCTCTGAGGATTCAGCCTCTGCTATGGGGAATTCTAGTTATTCTGGGGTTGGTAAGACAACCTCGTAAAACACACCTGCATGAGCGGGTGTGGTGGTTTTCCCCCAGCTGGCCTGGGGGATCCTGGAAGAGTTATAGTCAAGTAGGAACTTTTGCACAAGGCAGAAATAAGCCTGGACCCAGAAGATGTAACAATATGGTTTTCTGGTAAAATATGCTGAGTCATAGTTGACTGACATGCGCAGTTAGCAGAGTTATATAACGTTATTAGTGGCCAATGGAGGGTTATTTATGTAATTTGGGGACCAATAAAGAGTTAACATGTGTAGCCTAAAAGTGTATAAAAATAGTAGCGGTGTGCAATAAAGTGTTCCAGCTTCTGGTTCCACAAGGGTTCTTGTCGTTACTCCTGCCTCGACCGCGACAGTGGGGGTTTCACTGAGGGCTTAGTTCACTCCTCTCCTTTCCTGTCTCTCGGGTTCCCATTTACTTGGTCACTGTTGTAATAAATACTGGGTTTATTGTTGAGCTCAGCAGTGTCTTGGTTTTCAATCTCGACATCCTTCGAACTCACCCTGTTACAATGGGTCATATGGGAATTCAGCTCCCACCGATTCAATGCCACCAGACCACAGGCCAGTCACCTCCAGGCTCTCCAAGCATGGCTTTGCTTGTTTGAAAGAAGTCATATCTGTTGAGAATGAGCCAGTTCAAAATACAGGAAAAACCACACTCTGTCTCCTATTTACAGAAATTATTTTTATCTCCAATGGGATATTTTTGGTCTCTTCTTTAACCAGATCAAGGATAGAAAGAATCTGGGCTGAGCACAACCATGTCAGTGGGAGACACCATGAGTGAGGAGTCCTGACCTATCCCCCAGAGTGACCACTGATAAAAATGAAGAAAATAAATAAAGGGAAGAACAAGTGAGAGCCAGCACTTTGGGGGGAGTGAGGGGTACATCAGCCAGAAAATGGGATGGTCAGGGAAGAGACAGCAGAGGTAGGATGAGAAGAAGACACCAGCACAGAATGAAGGACTACCCAATATTGCACTCCTGGGCCAGGAAGGAGAACAGAAAATGGAGGGGGGAAGGAAAGAGCAGCTCAGATCAGTTATTGCAAGGGGGAAACAGTCCCCATGCATCCTCCCAGCTGCACTGCTCCCCCTCCCACATCCTCCAGTGCCTCTGGTATCCATCAATGAAACTACCTTCAGCCTCCAGAAGGAGATTGAGACCCTGGTGGTGGCTGGATCTAAGGCTCCTGATCATCAAAGGAACCTCGTGGAGAGCTGCAAGAGTGCTTGCTTCAATACCCTTTTCAATGCTCCTTGCCATCATTCTCTCAATCCCCCAATGTGGTTTCCCTGCCAGAATGGCTGGGAACCCCAGGCTGCCCTTCCAGCTTCAAGACATTAGAGCAGGTCTACTGGCCTTGAACACCGCTACTACACCAGCATCCACTGCCCGTCACTGGTGGCCAAAGCCTACAGTGTTATAGGAGCCCAGTACCACCATTCACCCATGATGTCTTCTTCCTTAGCTGCACATTCCAGTTTCCGAATCTACCAAAATGGAATTTTTTTGTTTTTATTAAAGCAATCCTTTCATCACAGAGGACCAAGAAGAGTGTACAGCCCTGGTCTGGAGAGGATGAGGGATGTTAGATTCTCTGCCCAGCATCATGGATCCCCATCTGTCCAAACTAGATAAGACCTAAAAGAAAGTGAGCTTTAGAGAATTGCTGCAAAGTGTGTTTATTTTCCTTTCTTGACTGGGTCTCTCCAGTTGGGAATTTTTAGCGCTGCACTTCTGTGTGCAGAAGGGAGATGCCAGTAAATCAGAACAAATTCAAAACAAATGCTCTTTCAAGTAGAGGCATTTGGCTTTGTTTCAGGGCTTGGGTAGCTAGCTGTATTCCTTCATGAGTCAACTTTCCTATCAGCTCCTCATTAAACTAAATGACTACATTTACATTTGGGGAGGAAAAAAGAGCAGTTAATGATAGTAAAAGGTTCTGTTTCTGAGCTTGGGGGGGAACCTTTGTTAAGGAAGACTAAAAAAAAATGCAATGCAATGAAATGCTACAATTTAATAAAATAAGTTAAAAATGCATTTTCAGAGTGAACCATGCTTTCTTTTGAGGAGGAGGCTTTATTAAGGAGCTGGAGGTCCCCTTCCTGTGGCCCTTCAGGAGGCACCCAGAACAAGCCATGTTATTTCCTGCAGCCCAAGCCCCCACCTCCTGCCTTTGGGAGCAGAGCAGCCAGATGAGATGTTATCAATAGGTTGAACCTTATAGAAAGCCCCCTTTTAAAAGTGAGTGCTTCCTCTACTTATTTCACGTGGCATCCTATGGAACTGAAATCTCTCCTACCCTCTGCAACTGGTATATTTCAGAAGGATAAAAAAAGATAAAAGATCTAACAACATCCTTATTGCATTGTTTTGCTTCTTGTCTTTTTTGACAGTCTCTTTTTTTTTTTTTTTTTAATTCCCTAAAGTTCAAGGCTCCAATAGCAAAAAAACCCAAAACTCAAAAGTCTTCTGAATTCAAAAAAAAAAAAAAGGTGACAAGTTTCTTTGTTCCTTCTCCCCCTTTGTTTGATTAATTCTTATTAGGGCCTTTGAGCAAACAATATTCTCTCCTCTCAAATAACAGACAGGGCATATATTACACCCAAATAAAAACAAGGTTCACTTAAAGACATCCACACCAAACGCAATTCCTGGAGAGAGGCAGGGGCAGATGCATGCACGCAGCCACCAAAAACCTACTTCTGAAATTCATTTCAGGGCAATGAATAAATCATAAATCAAGGAGACATCAGCACAAAGGGAAGCACCTTCAAACATCAGTGAGTACATGCAGATACATGGTTTCAGATACTTTTATCCTGGTAGAGACAGAGCCCAGCCACTGAGTTGGCCTGTCCAGGGTGGAAGATGAGGTGCTGAAGACATCACACCTTGGAAGAGGGGTGGGAGTTGGACTAGATGACCGTTCAAGGTCTGTTCCAACCCGAACCATTTTTATGAAAAGCCCAAGAGGGGTAGGGAAAACACCCTCCAAACCTCCATCCCATAACAGCACCTGGAGGATGAAAGAGATGGCAAACAGGAAAATGAGCTAAATCAGAGTATTTCAAGTTGGAAGGAAACCATAAGGATCATTGAGTCCAACTCCTGCAATGTCCTCTGCAAAAAAAAATGGGGTCATCTTTCCTCCCCGGGCATCATGACACTCACACATTAAATGTAGGATATTGGTTACCCTACCGGGAGCAAAGCCCAAGCACAGCTCTCATCCCAGAGACAAGAGATGCCACCACCACGAAGTCAAGGAGACCCTGACAGCGAATCTTTTTGCATGGCACAACAGCACCTGCTCCATAGTATGAGAGGCGTGCAGCTGCTCCTGAAATGAAACCTAATTCTCCCTTTGAGCATGCCTTTCTCAACAACGTGCATCCCAAAAACTCCCCAGCATCACTTTGCCTTCCATTGGGACCTTCGGTCAACTCAACTCACAGCCAAGATCAAAGAAAAAAGAAGAGATGTCTTACCTGAAAGCCCCCCAGGGGTTAGACAATTAGTTCCCCCTGTTTCAGTGGAGGAAGGCACAGAGTCTGGACAATCTGATGAAGCAGAGGAAAAAAAAAAAATCAGTATATAGGTAGTTCTTTGTAGGCTCCCAGCAATGCCATGAGTAGAAAACACATTCCAAAGAGCTTAGCAGGAATCAATTACTAATTGTCCAGCACAAAGATGGTAGTTCATCAAGAAGCATCTACCCTAACTCATTGCCTCAGTCAAGGCTGCACACTGTGCTTCATCACCACCCAACGCTGATTATAGACTGGCAAAGATTACAGACTGGCTGCCACCTCTCTGACCAAGTCACCGGGTAACAAGATCAAGGTTGTCACCATTCTGATGTAAGCAAGCTCCCAAAAATGTTTAAATGCATTAGATGCTTAAATGTATAAGTGCTTTGCACACCCGATTTAGTCAACACCTGTAACTCGCCAAAATAGGAACCAAAAAGGAAATGTCTCATCACTGCCCTTTTGTGGCAAATGGTCTACATTTACATTCCCCCGCTCAATTTTTGTCACCATCAGCTGCTGGTAGATCTTATACCCTGCTGTCACCTCCTGAGACAGGCGGGCACTGGATCTACTCCTCCAAGCACCACCAAAGGGCAGAGTAAGATCAGCAGCCCTATTAGAGGTTTCTCCTGATGCATGAATGTATTGGAGTTCAAGGTTTGGACCTTTCCATCCCAAGCCTGCTCCTCCAAGTGACAATATCCAGAGCAACATCAATCCCCTGGTCCTACAGGCAAAGTTCAGCTTTTTGGTACCTACCATGTAGGGGAGAAGCTCAAGGACAAGCCTGAGAAGACCCGTGAAGTTCACACAACCTTCTGCTCCTCAGTAAGTTCTTAAAAACTTTATGTTTCATCAAATTTGGGCTCCCTAATGATATCACTTTGCTCACAGCAGTATCTCAAAGCAAGGACCACCAGGAGAGTTGAGATATTTTTCTCCCTAATGATAATTTTTCCAGATTTCATCCCTGAAATCCAAGTGAATGAGAAATTGCTGTCTGCATAACCTCATTTTATCAGAGTAAAGCCCTAACAGGAATATACAGTTTAACAGGATGTACTTAATCAAACTGAAAACAACAGGGGAGATAGGAAATGGACTTACTTGCGAAATACTGTATACGATGCCTTGTCACGCTTTCTATGCTTTAAAGAAATATGGTTTTTTTCTTTTTTTTTTAACCCTTTCTAGTCCAGACAGAAGATTCCCCCTGCCCCTCTCCTGGGATGACTACAACTGCTTGGGCTACAGATGCTTTCTGAACACAGGCTGGAACACCCTGCTTTGCACTGGGCTCCCTCTGCCCCCAACTATAGCTCCCTGAAGAGTCCCTGTGGGATAGAGGACATCATTTGCCCTTTCCATGTTGTCTTGCTCTAGGGATTACACACAACCAGGTCCTCTGTTAGCACATCGGACAGGATGGCAGGAGAGAATCCTATCTCAAAATGTGTAACACTAGCAATGGGGTGATGTGTTTTCATGACTTATCAGCTCCCTTCCTGTATCACATCATCCAACAGGCAATTCTCCTCATCAATGAATTACCCTCACATTAGAAGATGCAGAGCTGGTGCACCTTGACTCTAGACCAACCATGATAGTCAGGTGTGGAATGAGTCCAAATGCAGGACCCTCCTGGGTTCTCTGCCCTACATGTGACTGGTTTCATCCTTGCACTCTTCCTATCACCCACAGAGCTGCCCAGGGCTCTCATTAGTAGGGGGTACTTGGGCTAATTTTATCTTCAGCACCACAGAGGTCATAGGATCAGAAGTTTACCCAAGCATGTGAATCTCCTCCCAAAACTGCTTTCTCACAATATAAAACCATCATGAAGACATATAATTAATCCTGGTGGCCACCAGCATAATCCTGCAATGTGCCCAATAGCTCCTGAAAGCTGTCAAACCTTTAGCTCCCCTGAAAGTCAATGCCACAGGAGGGCATTCAGCTCTGCAGTGACATCTCAGTGGGTTTCCTGCACTCATACTCCAGCACCACCATGACCAGCCACCCAGGAGCATGATGGACACAGCCACTTGCAGCCTCTTGTTCCACTTAATGATGGGTCAAAATACCTGTTTGAATTATTTGGATGCACTGTAGTCCATCTCACTTCCAACACAGCTGCAAGTGGCAGTTCCTGCAGGGACATCAGGGATGCTGAGCACCCACATGCCTCCAGGCTTGCAGGGTGAGCCTAGCTTCAGGTAAGCCACAGACACCCATCCCTGCAAATGTCCCCTGTAAGGAAGAAGGAAAGTCCTCTCCTGGATGAAAGTCCTCCCCATCCCTGGAAGTGTTTGAGGCTGGGTTGGATGGGACTTTGAGCAACCTGGTCTAGTGCAAGGTGTCCCTGCCCATGGCAGGGGGATTGAAACTAGATGGTCTTTAAGGTCCCTTCCAACCGAAACCATTCTAGGATTCTATGAATGAGCAAGCCACCCTGGACCTCCAGCCTTCCCGCAGGTAACCTGGTCATCAAGGGTAGATCTTTCCACTCTACGACGAGTGCACAAATACCAGATCTATCCTGCCAGCACACAATTTGATGTGGCATTTCACTGCCTGCAGCTGACCCCCACCTCTCTGTCCATCTCTGCTTTCCTCCAGCCAGGGACACAGCCTGTGTCAGCCTCCATCATCTCCAAAAAATCAATTTAATCCTTATCATAATGGTTTAAATCTAAAAGAGGAGGGATTCAGACTAGAAAGAACAGAGAAATTTTTACAAGGGTTGTGAAACACTGGCACAGGTTGCCCAGAGGTGGTAGATGCCCCACACCTGGAAACATCCAAGGTTAGGTTGGATGAGGCTCTGAGCAACCTGATCTAGTTGAAGATGTTCCTGCTCATTGCAGAGGGATTGGACTAGATGGCCTTTAAAGGTCCCTTCCAACCCAAACCATTCTATGATTCTATGATCATGGGTACTGGCAACCACTGCAAGCCCATACTGGTCCACGTATTCCTGTCTGTCTGTCCACACGAAACACAAGACATGGCACTAAATACTTAAATATTTTTGTAACCACTATCACACTTGATGGAAAAGCAGAAGTTTCCTGCTGAATGCATGTTCTCAGCTCTATCAGCAGATGCAGTTGCCCAAGTCTAAATGGAGGGACAATTACCTCGCAAGGTCCCAGGGGAGAAGATGGTTGATGTACATCAGCCAGGTAAAAGGTTTCACATCTTCCCATCATCATCTACTGTCTCTCTCCCATCTAAACAATTCTCAACATATGGTTGAGAAACTGACGCAGGAGATGGCACTGATGTTGGGACTGGAAATCCTTCAGTCCTCCACAGAAGAAACCCTGAGCTTGCAAAATCCACCTGCAACAACAGACTTCCAGGCTCCACTTGAGCCTGTCACAGCCCAGTTAGAGTTCAGCTGCAAAATGGATTTTTCTTTCAAAAAGGAAAAAAAAAGGAGGACTTTTTGGTGAGTAACCCAGTTGTTCCTGCATTTCTGATGGTCAGCGTTAATCAATTCCTATTGGCCAATAGGAATAACTTTTCCTTTCGAAATGGCACATTCATGTTCTGCGGCTTTTCTGTTTACACACATTTTGCTACCTTATGTCAACACTTGCTGATGAATAAATATATCACTGGGCTAACTGAAAATGAGGTCCTGGCAGAGGCAGATTGGGTGTCAAAACCCTGCTAACAGATTTATCCCAATATCTTTGCAGTAAATCAAAATCAAGCTTTAACCCTTCTCTCCTGCAGCTCTGAACCCCTTTACACCTCATGCCAGGATCATTGGTCAATGGAAAAAAAAGCAATAAAGGCAGAAATAGAAACTTTTGAGGAAGCACTGCAGGAATGCAATCAAAATTATGCCAATCTCACACAAACCCACAAAATTTCACAAGCCAACAGACCCTCAAAGTCTATTACGGAATAACCCTTCTGCATCCCAGCACGTGCTCAGGATGTTGGACCTACTCCAGATATCCTTCCTTCATTCATGACCCTTTATCTCCTGTTTTTTTCATGTTGAGGTAAAATAGTTCATGATTTGCAACCCAAATTTTGGTTAAACATCTTTGCTTATTTCCACAAGGCATAAAAAGACTTATCAGTGTTTCTTAAAAAATTTGCAGAGGGAGGAAAAAACAACAGTCCAGCCTCTGAAGGAGCAGTGGGCAGGATGGGACCCCACACAGTATCTAAGCAACCTCAAGGATGGGGTTTCTCTTAGTCCCAAGAAACTGATGAGCAGCAATTTTACAGAAACTGCTCTTTTGGCAAAAACCCTAGTAACCGGTATTGATCTTCAGAAATATATCTATCTTTGCCTCTGTGCACCACCATGCCCGGCCCACCTGCCATAACCATGGGGCATGACCACAGAGACCACCATGTTCCAGCCAACAGTCCAGATCCACTAATCCTTGGAGACCCAGGAGCTGCTCCTTCCCAAGCTCCCCCCATTTCCGATTCTTCCCCCATCTCCTTCTTCCAGTCTGATTTATCTCACACCTGGCAAGCTTGCTGCCAACAAAGTGTTTATGCAGATGACCTCAAAAGAGCTGGTGCCAGCCTCACATGGACTGGCACCCTGACATTCAGTTACAAGCAACAGGAATGCAGAGTGGTGCTAAAAAAAGAAAAAGAAGGAAAAAAAACATTTTCAACTCCTTTTTCAATTTTTTTTAACCTGACAAGGCAGGATTAGGTTCCTTTAAAACACATAATGATTTCTAACAAGTCCATTTATCAAGGTTCATTGGATTCCCAGGGATTAGGAAGATACTGCACAGGTTCCCAACCTAAATCCCTATAAAATTCACCCAGGGATGTGGAAGCAATGCCATTTCCAACTGGAGCCAATGATTTTCCTGGCTGACTTGAGCAGTGCAGGCCTGTGCTGCACTGTAATCCCTCCTAGAGTTTCTTGCCAGAGTTTTAAGATCTTTTACTTTGTGCAGAGAGTGGCTTAGACAAATTATATTTTAATTATATCTTAATTTTTCAAGGGGTAGCAGTAGGCACAGAAGCAAGTAGCCTAAAAGCAAAATGCATGACAAAGGCAAGGAGATGTTTCCCCTAAGAAAGGGGTTGTTTTCCCTTTTATCTGTAGTCTGCATTGAAAAAAGTCCACTTACCAGTTGGTTTGAGAAAATCCATTGGATATCTGGAGTAAGGTAGAGGGGGAGACTCTGGAATTAGAAAAGTACAGAGAAAATAAAGGCAGACCCATGAGAAAGAAAAAAAAATGAGATAGGAACTTATGATAACAAGTGTATTCTTTTAGTAAAACTGTTTGTCTTAGCTCTGGGGGTTGGAAGCAGGGCAGAGGCGATGATTGCCTTGATATTTAGCTGTCAGATAAACAAAAGGGACCGTCTGGCGCCAGTATCCCTGCTATCTGCCGCTCGGGCTGTCTGATCGTGACCTCCTTGGCTCAGCGGAGCCGCGGCAGCGCTAGGGCCGCCTGGCCCCCAATCCCCGGCACCGCGCGGGGACGGAGTGGAGACGGCTCCGCCCACCGTGCCGGGGCCCCCGGGGTGGGAAATCACCCTCTCCCTTAAACAGAAAAAAATACATAAACCAATGCAATGTAAAGGGGTGGGGGTTGTGTTTTGGTTTGTTGTTGGGTTTTTTTTCCAGAGGAAAAAAATTTTGGTGGGCTGGGAGGCGAATGGGGCTACATCCCCCCATCCCCTCCATCTCCCCGTACCCCCGCTCCCCCCGCCACCGTACCTAGCTCGCAGAGCCGGCTGAGGTGGTGCGGGTTGCAGCAGACGAGCTCGGGGTGAGGCTTGCCGTAGGATTCACAGCAACATAACCGCTTCACTTCGGAGCAGTGGCGGAGGTCGGGCCAGCGGAACACCTTGCAGAACAGCACCGGTAGCGGGAACCAGTGCTGGCCCAGCCGGGAGTGGGCGTTGGCGGGCAGCAGCAGGCAGGGGGTCTGCGCCCCGCCGCGGGACTCCACGGCGTGCAACAACCCCTCCAGCTGCCGCTCCTTCAGCCGTTTCAACACGGCATGGGTCAGCGCCTTCAGTTCCGCCTCTGTACCCGCCGTTGCCCGCCCGCCGCGGCTCGCCTTGCCCGTGCAGCACCCATGTCCCCCGCTGAAGGCAGGCTCCTGGGCTTCGGCCACGACTGCACCGGGCTGGCGCGCCGCCTCCTTCTCCTCTCCTCCAGGCGCACGGCTCCGCCAGAGCCGACGGACGAGAACAGAGCGTTTGGTCCTGATCATACGGGACGAGAGGAGAGGGCCTCGGCTACAAAACGGGCATGTCGTCCGCCACACATGAAGGGGCCGGGAGCCGGAATGCGGCGGCGGACAGCGGCGGGCGGCGGCGGGGCCGAGGCGGGCTGTGGCATGCGCCCGTCTCCGCGCTGGGGCTGCGGGTCCCGCCGCCGCGAGAAAATAAAAAATAATTAAAATAAATTTAAATGAGGGGGTAAAAAAGAGGAGGGGGGGAAACGGCGACTCGCCCCGGCTTTGCCCAAAAAATAAAAGAAAAATAAAAAGATTGTCTAGAGCCCGCGGCGCACAGCGCGGGGGAGGCGAGCGGAGGTCGTCGGCGCCGCGCCGCCCTGCGCGGCTGCGGAGCAAGGCCAGAGCCGCAGGAGAGCCTCGGCCTTCTAGGGGCCGTGGCGCCCATCAACCCGCCACGTTGGGGAGGGGGTGCGGGGGAATGAGGAGGGAGGGATGCAACGCAGGGCAGAATCAAAGGACAAAAAATAAAAAGCGAGCCAAAAGGGTGTCTATTAAAAAAAAAAAAAGAAATATTAAAAAAAAACGAAACACCAACCCTAAGGTTTGGACATCGGTTTAAGCATCTGTCACAAAAGAGACGAACAAGCGCTTCCCTTTTTAAAGCCCAGGTCGTCCTGATGCGGGGTTCGGGGTGGTTCTTTTCCTCCTTCTTCCCAAAGGTTTTAATCCACATGGACACACACATGGAATCTTGATTCGACTGCTACGGAAAGAGAGAAGAAAAAAAAAGTGGAGCTGTGTCCCCTCCTCCGTGCCTTCCCCAGCAGTGTGCTGCGGAGGGGGGAGGGGGCCTGGCCGGGCCGGGCCGGACCGAGCCGAGCCGCCCGCCGCTCCAGGCGGTGCTTACTTGGGTGCGGGGCTGCCCACCGGTCGGCGACTCTCTCCGTGCTGCCAGTGCCTGTGCCTCAGTGCTTTTTTTTTTCCTCTCTACTCCTTCCTGCCTGCCTGTCTGCCTTCCCTCCCCTCCTCCCTTGGGTTGGGTTTTTTTTTTCCTTCCCTCCACTCGCTGCAACAAGCTGCCCTCCCCGCACGAGCGCCTCCTTACTTCCCTTGCTGCCGGTGAGTGGAGCCCCGGCGGCAGAGCAAGACGCAGCGGAAGCGGAGCCCGCGGCAGCACGGTACCTGCTCCCGCCCAGCTACGGCGGCGGCTCGCAGTGCGCAGTGGCGCGGCCCCAGCTCGGCCCCGTCACGTGGGCGTCTAGACACCGTCTCGCTCCAGGGAAAAAAAAAAAATCTATATATTATATTTATCTCCAACCGCCTTTCGCAATCGGAGGCTCGGGTCGCTGAAAGGTTATGGGTCCCTCCGTCCCCGTTCCCCCTCCCCAACCTCCACCCCTGTCCCGGGATGGGGAGGCCCCTCCAGGAGCACTGCGAGGGTGCCGAGCAGGTGGTCTCCCCCTTGCACCCAGTGGGGCACAGCGGAGGGAGCCCTCGGGGCCAGGGTGTGTCGGAGCCCACTGTAAGTATTGAAATATTAAACCAAATCAGTCATAAAAATTTTAAAAAATTAAAATACATATATATATATAGTTTTGGCCATTGAAAGAGGACACAGCACAATAATAATAATAATAATAATAATAACGATAATAATACTTTCCATTTTTACAGCACTTGTCACCAAAGGATGGGAAAATATTTCATAGAAGGTCAATACACTTCAGTTCTCATCAAACGCAAAGCAGAAATGATCACCACGTAGCACTCTGATATTCTTGTTATGGGTACTACAGTTGTAATAATCTCTGGCACCGTGGGAGCTCCACAGATCCCCCATTCCAATTCTGGACCTGCAGAGGATGGGGAAACTGAGCCACCAAGAGACTGTGCAGCTCGTCCAGCCCCACTGTGCTCTGTGGTTGAGCTGGGAAGTCTGGCCAGACTTCCTAGCGACAGGTTTGGCAGGCCAGGAGCCCCCAAGGTCCCCATCCCACATGTACTCCCACGGAGTGTGGGCAGATAAGTTGCTTTAAGGTCACTAGGTAAGTCAATTATCACATTGGAAGGAGAAGCCAAGACTTTTAAATCATGGCTGCTATAAGCAAATCCAATTCTAAAATGATTGCACACAACTAAATGCAATACCAGCCATAAACCACATAAAAATAACATACCATGCAGGCAGGACATCCTCAGGGAGCCTGTCCTGGATCCCTGCCTTTGGTGCAGGCAGGAGTGCAGGGATAATTTTAGAACCTGATCATGCAAATATTCATGTGAGCAGGCCAGAGAGACTCTGAATAGGCCTGGTATTTGCAGAATCTGGATCTAAATTAGAAAGGGGTTAGATTTTATTAAATGTTAATGAGACTATACTCACCCAGGCCCAAAATCTGCTTAAAATCTGGATAAATAGTATTAAAAAAAAAAGAAGGAGAAGAACATAATTTGCTGGCATCAAAAAGAATAATTCAGGAAGGTTTGTTATGAAACTGGAATCTGAGGAAGGTGTTGGAGGGGGACTCTTCACTTCACCTCCAAATCATTAACAGCAGAAGATGCTCGTTAAATTCTGCAGTTGCTGGTGCTGCAGCTGAGGCAGTTTCAGAGGTGAGGTGAGCTGTGCAAAGCCCAGGGCACAGCCTTGGGGTGACAGAGGAGGAGGCCAAAGCAGAACAGCATCAGCATCTGAGTCTGCTGCATGCACAAGAAAATCCCATTGCTTTTTAAATGGTTGCTTCTGTATCCTGAAAAACGGAATTTGGGTAATATTTTTAGTTTAACATCTCGTTCACCAGCCTCCAGAGTGACCTCACGTATGCCAAGACCGATTTCCTCACTTCCTTAGTGAACTTCAATCCCTATTCCACTGTGATGCATATGGTAAATTGATAGAGAAAAAAAAGTTCCTTCTCATTCCTGTATTTGCCAATGGAAGACACACTGGACATGCCCATTAATCCGTGCATTACACTTTTAAAAGTTTTAAAACTTTCCAGGCTGTTATAAATGACTTTTAGGGTTTTTTTCCCTTTGTGGTTCCTCTTACCTCACCGCTGATGACTGCAATTACTTTATTGTCATAAACAGAGTGACAAAAAGTATAATGGGATGTATGCTGTGAAGGGATAGAGAACAGGAATGGGGTCCAGGAGTTAATATAATTTCTTTGGCTCTGCCATAGGTAGTCTAGGTGACCTTGGGCGCATCCCTTTCTTTCCCTGCAGTACAGCTGGGCCACCAGCACTTGCCTTTGCAATCTCTGCAGGTGAAAATTACTCCAGAAGTGCTAAATATTAAATAACCAATAAAGAACTGCTTTCTAATTGTCGTGGGTTTGCCTTGGGTCAATTTGCTCTCACCCCCCACACAATTACTATAAGTTGAGAGAAGGTTTATGAAGACAAAAGAGACTTGATTAGGGAGAATAATATTAGGGATTTATTACTAGCAAGATAAAAAACTAAAGAACTACATCTACATTACACTAATTCTAATTAGGTAAAAGTACTATGTATTCACAGAAATACCCCTTCCCCCTTTGTATCAGTTCAAGGAGGAGAAGCAGTCTCATTCTCCATTTCCAGAGCTCCAGGTCTTTAAAGTAACTTTGCAGCACTCAAAAGTTCTTCTAGGACGACAACTCCGATTCGTTGCAGCTGGAACTCTTTCTCTTTCTCCCTCTCTTCTATGTCGGCCTCAGGGCTGGGCCTACCCCCTTCCTGGGCTAAGACCAGAGGCTGGGAGGTTACCCAGGCCCTGAAGGTCTTCTCTTCCATGGACTGCAAGGGGACACTTGCCTACCATGGATCTTCACCACAGAGTCACAGGAGATAATGGCTATTGAATCCACCCCTGTTTCCTGTGGGGTCCCTTCCCACGGGAGAACAGTCCTTAATAGACTTCTCCAATGTGAGTCCATTTCTCGGACAACAGGTCTTCCATTTTCTGCTGTCTCTCAGGGTCACAAATCTCTAGCACCAGCATGGATCCCTCACTCGGATCCCAACATCTTACCCGAGCCGTTCTGCTCCAGTGTAGGTCTCCCTCAGGGTCACAAATCTCCAGCAGGACTCCGTTTCACCTCAGGTCTCTCATAAAGTCTCAGCCTCCTTGTGCATCAATTTACTCCAGTGTAGGCTCCTCCATGAGTAGCATGGGAGTCCCCTCACCCCAACAAACTTCTACAAGTGGCAGGGTTTTATTTTTCAGTCTTTTCCCTGCTGAAGGGACAGAGAGAGAGAGCAAGAGAGGGGGAAGAAGCAGCCCCCCCTTCGAACTTCTCTCTCCTGCTGGTGCCAGCTTTGGCCTTGAAAACTGTGCTCTCTCTCTCTCTGGAATTCCTTTTGCAGCACATCTTGTCCAGGG